CATCAGATTGAGAAAATTTTATAATGCTTGGAACGATGAAGGCTTGGAGGATAATGTTTTTCTGGCCTTGATAACCCCTCCCTTCAGAATCGTAGTGACGCTCTGAATGTGACTATGCCCTCTACATCGAATTGCGGCGGCCAGTCTGTGTAAAACTGAACAATTTACCCTATCAGAGAAGTCTTTAGCCCGACCTACCTGACAGACTCAAACCGTTATGCTTCCGTGGAAATTTCAGGGCATTCTTCTTCCTCTGCTAATGAAGCAGAAAATAAAGGCCAATCAATAGTGTGGCTGAGTGTGAAATAACGGTTGAATGTGCTGGAGGCCTTCTCAAGGCTACAGAATCTTTTTTGAACATTACTAATTCTCGAGCTGAGCCATGTTAATGTAGTTTAGAGCTATTTTGCATATTTTTTAGCACAACCCTCATGTTTCAGATGACACTATCGTTGATATTGCTCGTGTCGTCGGTGCTGATATCGGACGTGGCAATAGCTTTTTCTCGACAAGTGTCAGTGTAAAGAACTGCGACTCGTACGAGGATGGAAAAGGATGTGTGTTCAGCAACACATACGTGAACATAAGCAGGTGCTTCAGTGATGCTGTTTAAATTGAATACCTAACCAGAAAGGGTTCAACATTTTCATGTACAGGGTGGGCCAAAATTATGCTTACACAGACATCACATCCCCGAAAACGAAGAGAAAGCTAAAAAAGCAAACCAATTTTAAGAAAGTGTTTATCAATAATCTCTTACAAAATAGTACATTGAAACTAGGATCTGTTGCTTTCTACTTTCACCCAACCCCAGAGACGAAGATGGGCTCGATTGACGGTGGCACGCAGCTAAGGTCATCGAGTTGATCCCGGCTTTTTGCAAGGCATTTTCGAGTTCATTTCACTTCATATTTTGGATGCTATATTTATGCAGTAACGGATGCTTTCATCTTATAGGCTGACCACTGAGACATTCATTGGATTTAGGTCAGGGCTTAAGAGTGGTCACTAATCGAAAGTTATAAAGTCAGGGAACCCCTTTTACGAAATTTCTAGACAATTTCTGATCTGCGACCAGGAGCTTAATCTTGACAATATGTCCGGTTTGAATCGATAAGGGGCCTATTGCATACGAAGAGATCGAAAAGCCTTCAAATCAACTTTCACTCCTTAATTTACAAGAATAATCAGTGTTTTTGCCTCGGCGATGATGCTCGCAAAAGCCATCGCAGAAAGTCAGGGAGCCTGGCGCCTGCCACTTCCATTTCTTTCAGCTTCATACAAATCTTGCCGCCCTACTCACTGAGCATATTTTGCTCCGTGAATGTCTTTTCGACACTAAACAGGAATTCCGTACGACAATTTTTTCGGATGCGGCGGAGCAGCTCTTGTGACTAACCTTTCTCTTCTTTTTAGCCTGCTCACTGGAGGCCTTGTTGTGCTGGTGATGCTCCACGATTTCGCGCAGTAAACTTCATGAGATATCCATCCATTTAGCCATTTTGGGCTCAGAATGAACTTTGCTGTTATGCAGGCCTTCGCCCTGCTTCCTTAACACTCCCCTAAATATAACCGCAGGCCTCTTAGGGTCACCACTCCTATCTGCAGTTGTTCCCAACTCTCGAAAGCGTCTTATGGTTGACTGTACTACTTGTCCTGTTACGATAGGTCGTCTGTAGATGCACCGTGCCAAAAGTGCTTGCAAATGCAAAGCGGCGATTGATTCACGAGGTAGTGACGCTTACATTATTTTCAAAATCTACCAAAAGTTTAGCATCTTTAGGAAGGTGTATTGTGATCTATCTTGTGAAATGGAAGAAACCAAACGAATTGCCATGAACTCAGAAAGAATTTGCTATGAGCGTCAACGCGCGCTGTAACCATAATTTTGGCACGCCCTGTAGATCTGAATAAAGTCCTAGGTGTATGATAGTTCTGAATGCTGTTAACGAATCAAGAAAATAAAACTGCTCAATGAGTTATTCGGAAAAGTCATAAGCTCTCAAAATTTTCTTGGAGATAGTTTACTCTGATCACGTGTTTGTTAACACTGCCACAGAGCGCAGAGTTGTGCTTTTCCTCATCAGACGCAAAAGGTGGGTTTGCTTCCAGCCATGGGCAAGATTTCATTTTCCAGTGTCATTCTGCCTTATCAAGGCTATCGCTTGCGCTCATCACTAAAGATGGGGAGCTCCTCTCCACATCATTTGTTATATGATCGTCTATTTTGAATAGTCGTGAAGAAATGTTTGTTTCACAATTTAGATTGTAAAGGCCAATAGTTATGTGGCGGTGTCTATGGCCTGCCGTCTGAATTTTAATCTTCTTTCATAACCATGTTCAGGCTATAGAAAACTCATTACCACAGTACCGTGCAGTGAAAATTCCATCTTCACTTTCTCACTGTAACAACATGTATAGTGGCAAAAAAAGAACAACTATGACATCAGTACTTTGCCGCATAACCTTTGGCGTCAATGCCCTCTTGATATGAGCATAGCATGTATTTGTTCAGTCTGTCGATCTTCTACTGGATAATGTTTTCTTCCAGTTAACGAATTCGTGCTCACTACGAATCCTGAGGTGTAACTTGACAACCGAACGAGTGGTGACGGCCACGGCAGCAGATGAACGTTTTTTTTTTGCTGATTCACTTGGCGAGCAACTTTGATTTGCGCTTCGGGCCCTTGATCTTTTGGAAACTGAAGCCACTGCGAGCAATAACAAAATGGCCAGATAACAGTCTCTGTAATGTTGATGTACATCTTGGAATGCACCTTACTCTCGATCCAGCAAAGTGGTCAAATCCTTCACAAGAGAAGCCGTTAAGCATCATCAAACCCCACCACTCTTCCAGGTCAGCATCTTGTACCTCGATGTTATCTGATACCGACAGTACATCGCACAAACTTGATTCCATCCATCCCAAACAGCAAAATTGCGATTCGTCGCCCTAGATGACCTGATGCGACTGCTGAACAGTCCAATTCTTTCCGATCGTATGCATGAGCCCAGTCGAGACTTGATTTGCGATTCTTGGCTTAAGTCAGCGGTTTCTCTTCTGGACGACGTCGAAACTAATTAGCTCTTTGAAATGACGTCGTAATGTTCACGAACTGTTTTGGTCCCTCGGTTGTCGAGGAGAATCTCCTCTGCAGTGGACTCGAATCATTCCTTGCAAGCCGCAAGAGCGCTTCTATCGACGGTGCGAGACGTCAGTCTTGCTGTTTCTGGGTACCTTTTGATTACAGCCGACCCTGTGTACTTCTTCCCAATCATCTTGAAGAATCTAACTAGCACCCCTTAGATGTCGGTAGATTGCTTAGATATTGAGCCTTTGTGATAGCTCCGAGTGGTGGTGTCAACTTGCTCTGGCCGCAGTTACGGGTTTCCGAATGCCTAGGCATAGCCATAATATGTGCTGAGTGCGTGACGTGAAACAAAATAACGAGGATCACCCAAAATTTTCAACATAAAAACCCAACACATATTGATGGTGATAGTTTGCGTTAGCGGGCGATTCAAAAACGAAGCACAGCATTCTTCTTTCCCACATTTTTGTGGTTGTTTTGCCGACTTTGAGTTCCTTTCCCCTATGGTAATTTCTCCCTTGTGTTTTAGTGTTGGCACAAAAGAGGGTCATACAAATTATGTGCAGTAACGTTCAACCTCAAGTGAATGCGACGATTGTCCAAATAGCGTTTACTATAACAAATATCAGTAAGCGTTGCAAAAGCTCTCAATGAAAGGAAAACACGCTGTACAAAAACTATGGCTAAAGATGGGAGCGTCTTTTTACTGATATGTGGGAGACTACCTCTGAGTCATCGAGGCGCTTGCGGTGACAACTGAGCAGTTTAACTGGAGCTAGAAGGGATAGAGGATAAAGTTTGTGGCGTCAATGAATCCCGTCTGAGGGATGCGCCCCCGCACTCGGCTTCCATTCAGAATCGTCGTGGCGTTATGAGTGCGTACGTATGTATATGTGGCCTGTACAAGGATTTGCGTTGACCAGCCAATGTGCTTTTATCCTGCCAGACGAGTCTGGTAAAATTTAACGACCCTGAAGGGGTGGAAGGCTTGGTTGGTCTAAACGGTTGCTGATCCGGGATTGAAACCCCTGAACATTGGTAAAAGATAGTGCGCTACTTGCCACTACACCACCTCCGCTGAACTGGAACTATATATGAGCGAATTATGTACTAAGTCTGTGAGAGTTTCATCATGAACCACTGTAAGGCTCTCAAACTTTCACCTTTCATGATATAAGTGTCTCGCAAGTCCAGTGCAATTTTCCGGTGCGGAATCTCGCTATTTTCAGTTCGTTTGACAGTTCGTATTGGGAATGCCATCTAATTGATGGACGTGCGAGAGGGGTACTGAGTTTTTCTTAAGGGGCGACGACAGCTCGGCATTTTTCGTGCTATAAGTCCCACTTCACAGGATGAGCTGAATTAAAGAATGATTTTGCAAATGCGAATTTTCCCTGCCCTAATTCCGTGCTGATGGAAAAGACATCGAACTAGTGCAAGCTCAAGATCCTCACCACCTCAGACCCTCCCTTTTACTATGAGTTTTCACCTTTAGCTTAATGATCGAGGTATTGAAGAGCTTTCTCTCGACTCCAGCTGCGCTACTCGAATCACCTGACTAAAGTGCATACACCCCACGGCAATAAACGTAGGTAACTGCAAGACATGTAGGTGATAAAGTGGCATACGAATCATCAACCAAGAGATCACGTACATGTGTCTGCATTGCAATTGTGATCGTCCAAGTTCGTAAGGTGTCTTCGCGATAAACTCTAGAATCGGTGGATTTGGGATGATCGTTCCCCACAGCCGTGCCATCTCACACGAGATTATGATGCATGTACGCTCCAGCAGAAGTCAGTTGTTCCCACGCCATCTGCGTGGGAGCAGCGGTTGCTGAAATAGATATGATTACAGCTTCGAACCGAACTGTTTTGCTGGGTGTTTTTGGGAGAGGTGCCGGCTCAGTCACCACCTGTTTGATCTTTTCCGGTCGGCTCTTCGTCTTCTTGAGGTATTTCCTCTTATAGGGGTACCATCAGTTTCTGAGGGCACCTTTACAAGATGGTCGAACTGTATCCTGAGTGGCTCCTCGTTTTCACCTATGAGTGTGATGAGAGCTGAGTTGTCGCTTGCCTCCAACTCTCGGTAAGGCCCTCTCCACTCATGCGTCAACTTCGATATCGAGACTTCTCTTTTTCTGCTGGAACCTTCATGTAAACCCTATCACCCGGCCGGAAAACCTCAGACTTTTTGGTGCTCCACCTTTTGTCATAGCTGCTTTCACTGCCGTGCGGTACTTTTCAGCACGCTCCGATATACTCTCACGGGCCAACCTTAGTCCAGTAAGGAGCTCGGTTTTATAGTCAACGTAGTTGACTTGATATGGGGACAAATGCTCTCTCAGTATCACTGAGGACGGATACTGTGGATCGCGTCCGAACTACAAGAAATGGGGGCTTTCGCCCGTTGTCGAGTGTAGGGATGAGTAATATGCATATACTTCTGCTGGCAAAATTCTGCCCTACTCTACGCGAAGGAGAGTTTTTTCTTGAGCATGCGAGTGATAGTTCCGTTTACTCTTTCAGTCGATCCATTTTCACGGGGATAATATCCCTCGGTAAAGTCCTGTTTGTTCTTCAGAATTTCTCGAAGTGCTTCAATGACAGCGTTCTCGAATTTCCGCCACGATCGTAGATTATGCATGCTGGCCAACGACCTCCAACGCAAATCCATTGATTGAAGATCACCTCTACTATGGTATCAGCGATCTTGTCTGGCACAGGATAGGCGCCAATATATTTTGTGAAAAATGGTAGCAATGGATCTGTTACACCTTGTCGTGATTCCCCTGTCGAGAACGGCTACACCAGTTACTTCAAACGGACGTGAAATACATCTCGGTTCATGCGGCGGCATATTTACGTAATTTGGATTC